TTTTTTGGTATTATACATTTCTTTATTATATTTTGGATTATTTTATTATATTTATAGGTATTTTTACCATTATTGTGGTATCCAAAAAATGGTAAAAATAATTATTACAACAGTGGTAAAAACACTCATAAATGTGATAAATCACCCGAAAAAAAGATAATTTTTTAGTACAGAAGAAACATAGTTACCACAAATGTGATATCAATAGCCACAACAATAGTAAAAATGCCTACAAAAGGGATAAATTTTTTGGTTGTAAAATGATCCACAAAAATTATAAAAACACCATTTGTAATAGTGAATTTTTTAAGTATGATACAAATATTATAAAAATACCATTTGAAATAGTAATTTTTTATGTATGATACCGAAATTTTTTAAGGGTACTATAATCAAGTCGTAAGCTGAGAGATGGAATTTGTCTCACTTGTCTTGTATTTAAAACATAGTTATAATGTTTTAGATGTCCTTGAATACTGGTATTATAAACTGAATAGAGGTCTGAAATTGCAAAATGGATTGTCAAAATCCCATAAACTGGTATTAGATTTTTCTGTTTCTTATTTTTTTTTCTCTCTTATTAGGCATCAATCATATGCATCGGGAAATGATCTTTCTTGTGCAGTGTAGTCTTGTTGACTATTTAAATAACTATTAGTTAGGGTTTTGTGTTTGTTTTTTTAAGTTAATTTTGTTGTCCCTCGTAGGTTTATCTTTGTTTTAGAGCTGTGGTCTCCAAAGTCTTTCTGTATCCGTTATTCGCCGACTACAATACTTGATACTTTTTTACTATTTATGGATTTTATTTATCAGAGTCGTCAGATAATATTCCCTTGTCTTATGTTCACGTGTCAGGCTGTAGCTTTTACAGACTAACCCTATGCGGAGCTTCTGAGTTCCAAGCTTGTTATCATGCCAGGCTTTGAATTTTTCTGCAACCGGTTTGTGGCCTAATTTGTGCTCTGAAGAGTTTGTTTGGACAAATTGCTAGGACTATTTTCTACAACTCCATAAAATTTTGAGCTCTAAAGAAGTCTAGACTTAAATCAATTATTATCAACAGTAAATAGGAAGCAACATGCCCGTGATTTACGTGGAATTGGAAAGCATGTTAAGGTTAAAGTAACACAATACAATGTCCATGGACAGAGATGGCAGATAGGGCTCTTAAAGGAGCTGAAGTCTTAGACCAATCCCTACCATATGTATTTAAATGATGACAAGGACCAAATCTTTTGAGTTCCTCACATTCATTAGAAACCGGACCACAAATTCCTGCTATGCATCTGCTTCTTCATTTAATATTTATTTTCTTGGGAAGATGACACTTACCACACTAAACCAACACCCTGGGATCTAACCCATATATGCCTGAAGGCACAGTCCTATAAAAAAATAGACTTAGTTATATAAGCTACGATTATAATACTGAAGAGTTATTTTAATCTACAATACCGAAAGTTTTACTACAAAATAATAGTGAGATTGCAACACCATCTAATGAGATTATAATAAAATGATATTATTTGCAATGAGATTAATTACAATCTAATTAGAATTTATCTTAACAGTTTTTTTTATCGTAACTTGATTTTATTTGGTGCTAATCCAATAATTATAATGAAACTATTTCATTAAATTAACAAATTAAATCAAATTTTTAAGTATAAATGACATTCCTCTTCTTCTAAAAAATAATGCAGTGTAATTTGAGGTGGTTTCAACGTAGACTCCACCACTGTACTTTTGAAAAATTGAAAGGGTATTACTATAATATTTGTTTTCATAGAGACTGGTGTGGTAATATCCTAGTTTCTTTATTTTTTTATTGTTTTGTAACATTTTTTTTGTGATCTTATGATAGTTGGGAAAAGTTGTTTGTGTTGGATATTGACTGGGTCCTACACCCAATTAAGATTTTCAGTTACTCTCTCTCCAGTACCCACCCAAAGCCTTGGACATAGAATACACTGCATTTTGCCTCTTCTGTTATAAATAAGAGGGAGATTAGAGAACTGCTAATGGGTGCTAATGTTCTCCATACTCTCTCTCTCTCACACATTTCACTTATATACACGCAAATGAACAGATTTCTGTCACATGGGTGGCTTCTGTGTGGCTTGAGAATTAAGGTGAGTGTTGAGCAAGATGGAGAAGCAGGGCACGTGCATTGCTAACTCATCTACCATCTACAGATTAGCTCAGTGAGTTAGCTCTTCATGTGCCCGTCTTCCCCATCATGACCATCCAACCTTATTACCATTGGATGGCATTGCAAAACCAACTCCGGCTGTACCAGTGAATTGCTTCAGCAGTTCATTACTCCAAAAGCTTCATATTCAGGTGAGTCATGTTTAACTTTGCTGTATTAGAAACAGTATTTTTCTGCAGTGTCAAATTTCGGAGGGTTCCTAGTTCCGATTGATGATTATAAGGATAATTATCAAGGAACAATGGTCCCCAAAAGATAATGATAAAGAAAAGATAGACTCCATACCATCTAGTGGTCTAAATCATGGTAGAAAAGTAATGCTGAATATGATATTAGCGTCATAATTAGACCACATGAACATATAAGAAGAGGAGACACCCCTTTACATAGTACGCTGTACAGTCACTATCCCATTTGTGAGCTTTGATTCAACTTGACACGTTCGCCCTCCTTTCTCTCCCAAAAACAATTTGTTTATTCAACTTGATGAAATGGCCTCCAATGCATTAAACACAGTATAGTGCATTACGGGTGTTGATTATTCAATTACAAACTTGCTAAAATTGTTATATATAAATGAACACTGGAGGGGATAAGGATGGCTCTGGAGCGGGTGGCTCCAGAGATTAAGAGGTTTGGATCTAGGGCCTCGTTTCCCATTGTTAATTCATGGACCTCGGAAATACGCTGGCTTAAGCTTGAATGATAAATATCTTGGAAGTTGGAACTTGGAACTTGATACTAACGTAAATTAATTTGAGCAAATCAACCGTTGGACAGATTGGTTCCGAGACTTCAGGAGATGCATATATAGTATGAAACCTTCTACATTTTGGAGGACAACATTTTGCATATCAAACATTCTACGGAGAGTTTCCGTTTATAAAGTTGAAGATGAATCAATTTGTTCATCATGTTGTTTACTTATTTGTTGTATCATTACAAAGTTTGACAAAAACATTAGAATGAGATCTTTCTGAGAAGTCTAATAATAAAGAATAGAACATCTTGCCTAGAGGATTTAGATAGTACATAGTTCATAAATCGTCTTTCTTGCCATTATTTCTTGCTTGCATTACTTATGTAGTCTCAGATAGAATTGAGGTGAGGGATCTAGTGGTAAAAGTTCACTCTTACCCGCAAATAGTTATAGATTTCAATCTCATCCCCTTCCCCTTTTCCCTTACCCTAAAAAAAATAGTGTCAGCTAGATAGAAAGGATGCCGATGTTTCAAGAAAAAGTTGAATGCTTTATAGCCATGTATGGTATTTAGGTATCACCGTCCAGGGTTATGTCTCTATTTTATCTTCGGTTCTGCGTCCCTGATTGAACGACAATGATAAGCCATGTCCAACAGCTTGTTTTCTGATAGAATTGCGAAGTTTCGGTTATATGCTACTTGGGAGAATCTTATAGGGTGTGTTTGGAAGCTACTTCAAAAGAATAATTTTCGTCAACTGTGATCGCATGTCAAGAGTCTTGTCAATTTCTTTTCTTTTCTTTTTTTTTTTTTAAATGAAAGAGATGAATGACTTCAGTCTTGTTCAAGCAATTATGCAAAACATTATGGTTCTACCTATGTCTCCAAACACCATGTTCGTAAGGACTTCTTCTCATATTAATGGTTTACATTATAGTCAAGTTGGTGCAATTAATTATACACTAAGAGCACACAGATATATACCGTGAGAAATCAAGAGTGTCTCACTATGTTTGCATTCCTTTCTTCGATTTTATGGCCAATCTTGTTCAATCCAAAACTGGTTTATATGATCTCATAGGTGGATCACGGGGAATGACTCGAGATAAGAAGGCATCAAGTAAGAACCAGTTTTTACTAAATATGACCGGTTCTCCTAAGCAATTAAAAGGCTACGGCTTTCATGGGTAATAGAATGCACGGTATTACTCCATGAATTAAGGAAGTTGCATTCCATGATTTAGGAAATGGTGGGCCTTCTCAATCTTCGACATTTTCATCCATCTCCAATAACAAATACATCAAACTGTGGCATAATTGTTTGTTTCTGTATTCATACCCCTTGTGTTTGACATTTTCATTGTTCCGATGATTAAATGGTGAAATCTGGACATTATAATTCCGGAAAATGTGAATAATAATCTTTCTGTTGAAAAGGTGTCCATCCCATGCTTCCTGCAACAAAACTGGCAGCATAAGGAGGCGACCCCATATAGTGGGGCTTCAAACATAATTGAACTGTGTGGTTATGCCAATAAAGGGCGAGTTATGCAAATGAATGGTGCCAAATTAACCCCATCTGGGGTGTGACATGGAGAGAAAGTTGATACGATGGAACAGTCCACCCTATGCTGCAACTGTTTAGTTTAAGGTCACTTGCATTGTGGGTTACTAACTCGAGTTTATTAATGCTCTCTTAACTCCCAACTTTTGGAAAGCTTGTCATTTATTTGGGTCCAAAGGTTTTACTGTTGCTGGTTTCAGGAAATTACTTGTTTTTCACTTTCGGCTTTCCATGAAATGCTTGGCATGAGTATTGTTTTCCGCATCAAATCCCTGCTCTGTTTAATTTCATGGACAGCAGGACAAACAGAACGTTGGAAGAGTTGATCCCGGAATACAGAAGCATGAAGATGTCTTCATGATACTAATAATTTCAGAACATGTACACTTGAATGGATCAAAGTACAAATGAAAAGCACAATTACAAAGAGAGGCTGAAATTGCCCTTTAATTACCTCTCATGACTACACTTGTGTCTCAGCTGTTCACTAGCAAGTGGCAAGAATTACCTCTAATGACTACACTAGTGTCTCAGCTCTTCACTAGCAAATGGCAAGAGATATAACTGTCAGCCCCATTCCCATATGTTAGCGACCATAGCCCCAAAAAATGCAGAGAGTTTACTTGTAAGGCCAGAGTGCAATATGCACCGATAATCAATGATACAACTCTTGACAGACTTTACAACCAAAGTTAGCGTTCTGAAAAAGAGTTAGTTTCGATGTGCTTCACCAAATCCATCAAAGCAATGTCCTCAAATGGACCATATTTAGATCCAAGGAGAAGGGCTTCCCATGTCCTAAAACCAGGAGCACCATTCTTACCAACCATTACTTTGAGCAATTCAAATGCTCTGGAAACCAATCCCCTCTGGCACAAGCGACATATTATCTCATCAAATGTCGAAGACTGAGGAATTGAACCTTTACCCATCATTTCCTCCAACAAACCACAAGCTTCATCAATTTCACCTTTACTAATCACACCACGAATCATAATTTCATATGTTCGTGAGTTTAATTGCATTCCCTTCAAACCCATATCCCTCACAACATCCCTCGCCCTCCTCAATTTCCCACTTTGACACAGTGCCGCCAAGAGCGTATTATAAGTTATCAAATCAGATTTACACCCCAACTCCTCCATCCAAGCAAGCATCTTTATTCCATCTTCCATCTTATTCTGCTTACACAAACCATTTATATACACATTGTAAGTATATATATCAGGAACCAAACCCAATACAAGCATTTCATCGAACAGCTGCTCTGCCTTCGCAGATTGACCTTCCAAGAACAACCCATCTAGAACCATAGTATAGCAAACAATATCAGGTTTAATTCCATCCAATTTCATCTGATTCAAAACATCCAAAGCATCCATACCCGCCCCTTTTTTCGCCAAATGCCTAATCACATTGCACCAATCAACTCTGTTAGGACAATAACCGAATTTCCTCATTTCTTCCAAGAAACCCATAATCTGAACACCAACTGAATCTTTCTGTTCGCACATAGCTGATAGTATCAAAGAACAAAACTTTCCATCAAGACTAAACCCCTCACTTATTATAGCATTCAACAACTCAATTGCATAGTTAACCTTTCCAGTTCTACAAAGAGCTCTGATTAATATAAAGAAACTCGATTCTTCGATCCGGATATTCATCAATTGACTCTTCGTCAAGATTTGTGGAACAATTTCAAAACCCTCTTGTTTTTTACAAAGAACTGAGAGTAAAGAATTAAGAGAAACCGCAGTAGGGCTACATCTAAAACTGGGTAATCTAAAGAAAAGCTCCATGGCTCGCTGAATCATATTGGATTTGCCATAAAAGTAATCAAATCAGCAAAAATGTATTCCGGTGTTTCGAACTTTTCAGCATTTTCAAGATAATCTAGAACTTGGGTGATTTGATTATCATCGCTTTTGGGGTTATGGGTTAGGGTTTTGAGGATAAAGTGGTAAGCTTTAGGAGTTGGGTCACAGCTGTAGGTATTGAAGGATTTAATGAGAGCTGAGAGGAGATGGGTTGAGGTTGTTTTTGCTGATTGCTTGAGCATTTGCATGGCTTTTTGTTGATCGAATGTGTCTTCCCATTGTGCTTTGTACGGTGAAAGTGGCCATTTTCTTCTTTTTCTGAGGTAATAATTGGGTGAAGATTTTCTCGAAGAAGATGAAGCAGAAAACGGTGATCTGAAAAAAGTGGTCATGCCAGAACAATGTTGTTTCAGATGCTTTTCCCAACAAGCTCGTTAAACAGCCGTGGTTAGTTATTTTAGATAGTTTTTTTTTCTTAAATTTGCTTCCACTGACTAACTATTTTACTATCTATTTTTCATAATTTTTTTTTACTTGCTCGTTCTAGTTAGCCCCTTCTCCCTCGCTGGAGCCAATTTCCTCTGCTCTCTCTCTCTCTCTCTCTCTCACTCACTCAGCACAGAAGCTCCACAACACCCTGTTCCATAGCACCCGAAGCTCACAAAGCTCCACCGACTGAAGCTTCATCGTAGAAGGTTCCACCGGTATGATCTCTCTCTCTCTCTCAGATTGGGGAAGAGATGAGTTGATTAAAATCCAGTAAAATTCCTTTAGAAATTCAGCGTAGCCCTCTAAAAATCCAGCAAAATCTCCCAAAAAATCTAATAAAACCTCCAAAAAATCCAGCAAAACTTTCCAAAAATCTAAAAAAACCCCCAAAAATTCAATAAAATTCCCAAAAAATTTAGCAAAATCCCCCAAATTTGGACCTATTTCTCTCTCTTTCTCAATTTATTAAGCTACCCCATCATCTCTGATGGGTATAAACCTGCATTTAAAATTGTAATCTGTAATGGAATAAACTGAAAAACACTAGAACCCAAAATCTGAATAAAGGATGAAATCTTGCTGATACTTGGGTTTTTCACAATTGTCTGAGTGCTTATATTAATTAATATGACCGTATATAATCAAGAGTTTTTCATTCAACTTTCCATAGCATGTTGGTTTGGTTAGAGGAGGTAAATTGTTCAAATGTAATTATGTAAGAAATAGATTTGAGAAGTTGTTAAAATTGGTAAAAAGATTAGTGCTTTAGGTATGTTGAGTGTTCCATCCTCTAAATTCTGGGTTGTTACTTTGGAAATATTGGTCTTGCTAGAAATGGATTTTCTTTCAAAAAAAAATGGATGTGGTTATACTTGATGAATTATTTTCATTGCTATCATTGGGCACAAAATAGGTGTGAAACTCTTTATTTCCAAAATGCACTTACCCATTTGTTGCTGAGATTTATGTGGGCTTATTTTTCATCAATACCTTTATGTAATGCAGTAAGTGATGTACATCACATGCATATCTATTTCCTTTATGTCTTTCATGTTCTTTTTACATTTTGCTGTCCCAATTGGGTTGTCAAGAGAGTAATAAACCATAGTGCTTGTGTGGGCAAGAGCCTGATAGAGATTCTCTAGGAATTGTTCCTTAGTTTTCAAAATGAACCAGGTCTGTTGGTTACTTTTTTCTTCTGGTTCATCTCTACACATAAGGTTTTTCATATGTCGTAACTTAATTGATATGTGCATATCAATTAAGTTAACACAAATGGAATTTGGGACTTTTCATGGTCTATGGAGTTTGGGTTCTATGAACTATGGTGTTTGTTTGCCCAACACAAAATAATATGATTCAAAACATTGAGGGGAACCCTGCTACTTAATTGGCACTTGAATGTCTGTACTTGTTTCATCTTATAAGCATTACTCATGGATCTATTCCAACATTGTTCGTACTTCACCAATCTCATACATGATGGAACAAACTTAGATGATGAAGTTATAAGTCAAACTTCACCAATATCTTCTCAAGTAGAATCCACCATCAAAAAACAACGAGGTGACAATTTTACAGTAGAGGAACACATTATGATAATCTCAGCGTGGCTAAATATTAGTTTGGATGCTGTGCAAGAAAATGAACAAAAATCAAAGACATATTGGCAAAAGGGTTTGCGAGTTCTTCCATGAATACAAACCTATGACATGCCCTAGTCGTAGTCAAAATTCTTTGATGTATCGTTGGTCGGCAATTCAATTAGCTACCAACAAATTTTGTGGGTGCTTTGCACAGATAGAAAGATTGAATCAAAGTGGTTTGACAGAGAATGACAAGGTCTGAGTGAATATTTTCATATAAAAAAATGTACTTTTAATGACATAATAATGAGTTTTGTTATAAAATTTTTCAGATTCGTGATGCCAAGAACTTGTACAAGGAACTCTATCAATCTTCTTTTTCCGTTTCAACATTGTTGGAATCAGTTAAGGTATCAACCAAAATGAATGGAGGATTCTCAAGTAAAGAAGCAAAAAATAAAACCTAATGCAACTCCTGGCAGCTCCGTGCCTTCTATAGCAGATTCCGTAAATTTAGGAGATGACGGTGGATCCTATGGATCCTTAGACAGACCACTTGGAAAGAAAGCTGAGAAAATGCAACTACGAAAATCAAAGAGCAAAGAAGCTAGAGGTGATGTAATAAGTTCTGAACTCGTTAATCTGTTAGTAGAGATGAAGGAAGAAAAAAAGGTAATGAATGAGAAAAAATTTGAAATGTTTGAAATATGTTACCTTCAAGGACAACAACGTCTACTGCAAGAGAAAAAGAGAATGCAAATGGAGCAAGCAAGAGAAGAATAACGAATAATGTCGATGAACACAAGTTGCATGCCTCTGTTGTAAGCTGAATATTTTCAACGCCGCCAAATGAAAATCTTGGGAAAGAAGATGTAGTTTTTTTTATTAATAGACAAACAACTTTAAGTAGTAGTAATAATGCTACAAGTACTGTAATAACATTTGCTTAAGTAGTGCTTAGTAGTTTTCATGCATATTCCACTGATGCTCGACTAGATCAGTTTGAAATTTGGAATGAGTTTCTTTGTCTCTAATGCAATGTTGAGTATTAATAAATTGGAGCAGTTCTGAACTTCACTCAAGGATGATTGTAGTAATGGGACTCTCATACATTGTATCATAACTAAAGTCTAACTTATTAGCACTCCACTCATTCTCGACAATTATGTTATGTAATATTATGCATGCCTTCATAATATCTTTAAGCACTTTAAGTGTCTAGAAACGTGTTGGTCCATGCACTATAACAAATCTTGCTTGGAGCTCTCCAAATGCTCACTTAATATCCTTTATTGTTGACTCTTGAGATTTTGTAAAATGTATTTGTTTATTGCCTCTTAGAGATGGAATTGTTTTGACAAATGTTGTCCATTTTGGATATATATCATCAATAAGGTAATATCTCATTGTATAATCGTTTTCGTTGACTGAGAAATTGATTGGAAGAGCTCGACCTTTTGAAAAGAGAGCAAAAATAGAATAGCGTTCTAGTACGTTGATATCATTATGAGATCCAAGCAACCCAAAAAGGCATGCCAAATCAGAGATCATATGAAGCCACCATCTTCAAAATAATTGTTGGTTCATAAACGTGACCAGAATACATATATTTTCATACTGTTGGACAATTTTTCCATTTTCAATGCATACAATCAATGTTACCCAACATCCCAGAAAACCCACGATTGCCATCCATTGCTAATAACCTAGCAATGTCATCATTGTTTGGTGACTTGAGGTATTCATCGAAAAAAATTACTACTACTGCCCTCACAAATCTTTTCAAACTTTCTATTACAGTGTTTTCGCTAATCTTCACATAATCATCAACAACATCTGCTGCAACTTCATAAGCACGTATCCTTATGATCGTTGTTATCTTTTGAAAGGAAGACGAGCCAATAATTCCAACAACATTTTTTTTAGACAAAGTATGGATCATAATCTTCCACCATAGATATAATGTGAAGGAAGATGGTTTGATTTATTCGAAACCTTCTTCAAAATAAATTTGGATAATAGATAGGCGGTTTAGCAAAATAATCACAACACAATCTCTCGTGCCCTTGAATTCGATTGCAAAAAATAATTGAATGACCTTGAATTAAACCACGACGTAAACCAGAGCTTTCCCCGCTATTAAGTTTATTCATTTTCATAACACAAATTGTTACCATCCCCAATTCATTATCGAAGTCAGAATCGTTAAAAATCATGTTTATTGTAGGATAACGAGTCATAACATAAATACAAAGAAGAGTGCAATGCCAATAAATAGATTTGAGATGTATGACAATAAGAGATAGAAGATCTTATTTATACATATTCAAAAATATGACCGTTGCAAATATGATCGTTGTAAATATGTCCGTTTCAAATATGACCGTTGTAAATATGCCCGTTTCAAATATGACCGTTACAAATATAACCGTTATTAATATGATAGTTGTAAATATGATTGTTACAAATATGACCGTTTTAATATGACTGTTAAAAAATTTAAATTTTAAAATTTTGAATTTTGTGACCATTGTAAAAATGATCATTATTAAAAAAAATAAAATTTTAAAATTTTGATGATGTGGCATAACATGTCATCATGTGATGTCATCAATATGGTGATGACATAACATATTATATAGTATTTTAAATTTTTATAATTAATAATTAGTTAAAGTTAGTTGAAGTAATTAACTAAAATAGATAGCGTTGTTAGAGTGAATTTAAAAAAATGGTTAACTAAAGTAGATAATATAATATTTAAATATATTTTGAATAACTATTTTAGATAGTGTTGTTGAAGTTGCTCTTACACGATGACCATCGTCTTAGAACTCTTCAACACTTCTATAAAATGTGTCATTCTCACTCTTTAATTATAGGATTTTTTGCAATTTACACCTTGAAAAATTTTAATTTTTTTTGTATTATAACGTCAATATATTAAAAGTATTGTAATGTTAATTTTTTATTAACTTTTATTATTTTTTTTTCAAAATTCAATCCATTGATAGTGACGAAAAATTATGTCTCATATATGAATACATACTCTCTTTTGTTGGATCTTGGTTATATACTTATATATACAGGTACAATTCAAGTGGGTTAAGGGGTCAATCCTAACTCAATCTTAATCTTAAGTATAAAATGTTCAATCCTAACGCAACCTCAACCTGAAGTACTTACTCGAGTATTACCTAAATTCAATTCGAGTCGATAGTTTTCAGTCTAGGCGAACCTAAGTATTAAAAATCTCAATTAAAAACCTTTTTTGGGTTTAATTCGGGTTAACCCACCGATGCTGCCATTAGTTATATACTCACGATCCTATTGTAACTGTCCAATCAAGTGAGAGTAGGTGGCCTACAGGTTTGTTCTTTTCTGGTTTTGTATGTCTTGAGGGAAAAAGGTGGCTAAAAATTACTGATGATGCACAAAATTGGTTTTCACACCACCTGTCAATTAAGTAATATAAAATGTAGTAAAGTAGAGGGAGAGAGAAGACAGGATTTATAGTGGTTCAATCAATATGACCTACATCCACTTTAAATGGCAAGGGTTGCCAAAATTTTATTATCTCCAGTGTGTGGAGGGAGAGCACAGAATTACAAGCTTTGAGAGGGGAGGAGAGAATTATACTCAAATGAGTCTGATGTCTCTCCAAGTGTTGATGAGACTTACAATTTATAGTAGCTTTATGTAGTAATTGAATAACTAGTCTGACGGTCATAACAGGTTGGAGTCATTTAATAGTCATAACTGATTGAGATGAATTTAACGGTAATTAAATAATTTGGCGACCTCCCCTCTTCTCAGTGGGTAAAGAAGTTATGATGCTCTCCAAAGGATTTGGTCAAAGGATGAGAGAATGTTGATTCTTTCCGAGTGGCGAGGGTGAGGCTCCTAGATGCTCCCTTACTCCAAGGTAGTAGATGAGGTTATTGGATGACCCTTACTCCAAGGTGATAGAGGAGGCTCTTGAATGACCCTTACTCCAAGATGGTAGAGGAGGCTCTTGGATGAGCTCCTAAACGACCTTATGTGTTCCTCTACTGATGTAACTCCTAGAACCTGATAAGCTTGATCGAGTGCGAACTCCTTCAGGCTTAGCTAGCTGGACCTCTTGGAGTTTGGCCCTTGGGCTTGTAACATGAGTTAGACCCTTAGACTTGACCCATCAATTATCATACGACAATTTGCATAGATTGTATTAGGCATTAATTTCCAATGCCCCATGTCCAATGAAACTTGGAGAGGAGGGCTGTTATCCAAATTTGATATTGACAATTTACGTGCAAGCATACACGATCAACAAGTAATAAAGTGATAAGTAAAGTATCGTTCCCATGGAGAATTATTACTAATAATATCCAAATACTAACTTTATATCAATTCAATTTTATTTAAACAATTAGAATTGACAAAGAAAACACTACTTTAAAACTAAATCTAAACTTAATAATCAAGGGTTGAATTTACCGGATAAAAGAAGTTAATATTATAACTTCCCCTAATGCTTCGTATAAATCTTTTCACTCTCTTTCCAGTTAATTGATCAAAATAAGTTGTTAATTGAGAATTCAAAGTTATTTATCAAACCTCTTTCGATAGTTAGATAAACTTATCTCTCCCAATTAAATTACTATATTCCTACGCAAAATAAGTTGAAATAGATTTATTAAGTTCAAACTCTCATAAAAGTTACACACAACATATAGATATATTTTTATACTATACACAAACCAAGTTATTCAATCCTAAGAAGGACCTCCTCATTAAAACGAGTGAGGTAGCTCCTCGGGCTCTCGTCTCGATCCTACTTTATGTTGTGCAGGTGGGGTAGCAGGCTTCTGGTGGCGGTGTCCTCCAATAAAGTGTGACACAAAAGACCTGCTCAGCTCAGTGAACGAGCCAATAGAGGCTTGGGAGAGCTTGGCAAACTATTGCCGAGTAGATCCCTTAAATGTGGTTGAGAACACTATACACATGATTTCGTCAGGAACATTGTGCAGTTACATTAAGGTCTTAAAAGTTTCAAGGTGGTCTAGTGGATCCTTTGTACCATCAAAGGTTTCGACAGATGACATCTTGAATTTTTGAGGGAGTGGGTAGTTCATCATGTTAGGTTTGAAAGGTGTGTCGGTTCAACTTACGAGGTAGTCCACTGTCTCGGGTCCTTGTACCTTCATGGTGTTGAATACGTCACCCAATTGATTTTGCACCTCCTTAATTTTTTCGTCTTAGTGATTGGAAGGAGGTACTCTGGAATTATCACAGACATAACTCTCATGCTTCATACTTTGGTTTTTCACCCTCATCCTCTTGGAAAGAAGGGTCTCCACCATGGGGAACAGGTGCAGGGGCTAGAGGAGAAAGTCCCTCATAATTGGGCCCCCTGTGTGGGGCACCTAAAGGGGTTCCCATAGATGGGGCCCCCCTTAGATGGGGAGCTCCTTGATGACCTAGGAGTGGAACTCACCTGACTTGAGGTCCAGGTTGCGCTCCTTCTTGTTACCCGAGTATCAATTGCAGAATTTGCTGGTTCTGGACTATAAGCTGTTGCATTGTATCCAACATCTGCTGCGCATTTGGGACGGGATTGGCAAGTGGAGGAGTAACCTTCTCCTCTCGTGGTGGAACGTGTTTAGGCTGACTCATGGATCCTGGCGATGATCGCTTTTGATTCAATAAAGAAAGTGTTTATGTGAGAATTATGTCGTTCCCACATACGATGCCAAACTGATGATACACAAAATTAGTTTACACACTATCTGTCAATTAAGTAATATAAAATGCAATAAAGTAGAAGGAGAGAGAAGACAAGGTTTATAATGGTTCGGTCAATATGACATACGTTCACTTTGAATGGAAACGGTCGCCAAAATTTTATTGTCTCCGGTGTGGAGGGAGAGCACAAGATTACAAGTTTTGAGAGGGGAGGAGAAAATTATACTCAATTGAGTCTGATGCCACTCAAGTGTTGGTGGAACTTACAATTTATAGTGGCTTAGTGTCGTAATTGTTAGCTAATCTAATGGTCATAACGGGTTGGAGCCGTTTAATAGTTACAACGGATTGAGGTGACTTTAACGGTAATTAAATAGCTTGGTGACCTCTCATCTCCTCAACGGGTAAGGAAGTTATAATGCTCTCCAAAAGACTTAGTCAAAGGGTGAAGGAAGGTTGACTCTCTCCGAGGGGTAGGGGTGAGGCTCCTAGATACTCCCTTACTCCAAGGTGGTAGAGAAGACTCTTGGATGACCCTTACTCTAAGGTGATAGAGGAGGCTCTTGGATGAGTTCTTAGACGACCCTGCGTGCTCCTCTACTAATGTAACTCCTGGAACTTGATGAGCTTGACCGGGTGCGGACTCCTTTGGATTTAGCTAGCTGGACCTCTTAGAGTTGGGTCTTTGGGCTTGTAACATGAGTTGGGTCCTTCGACTTGACCCATCAATTATCATATGACAATTTGCATAGATTGTATTAGGCATTAATTTCCCATCAAGGATAATTTTCCTACTTTTGCACCGACCCAAGCAGAGGCGTGAAGCAGTTTAGGTATCATGTTGATGCAGAAGATATCTAATTTCTTCAAATGAAAAAACAAGGAAATTTTGAACGTGGTGGCTAAGATGACATTTTTATATGAAAGTAGGGCTAATTGCCAGATAAATAAAATTTTAACAAAACCTAGAACTGAAGGAAAGTAAAAGTAATTGAAATAAATGGGAAAACGATTCTTATTTTTTTTTCTTTTTGATTTTAACCGTTTTCGGGATTTAAGGTGCTTTGTAGATTAGGTTTGTTTTGGAAGCAGCAAGCAAACTCCAACAATAAAGTGTTTTTTTTTAAAAGAGAATTATATTGAAACCCACGTGTGACAGTGTCAATATTATTGGAGAAATTAGCATAATTATACATAATTTTATCTAACAAAATAATATTCAGACAAGAATATGCAAATGAATATAAAATAACAATCAATTTAGAATAGAATAAAATAGATACTATAATTTAGAAAGAGTTGGTCTGTGAGTCCGAAAGTCGTGTGAACACTGTCCTAAAGCAGCTGAGTCTCCCCGCGTAAGAGTATTGACGGACACTAGTGACTCCAAAATCAAACTCAGACACTCACAGTAACACCTTCTCAATGATCATGTTCACTGGAAAGGAGTGAACCTGACTCGAATAGAAGTTATCCAAAAAATAAACTAATGGATGATAATTGAAAAAGCAGGTCAAGTATAAAAGAATTGAAATAAGCAACTGAAAGGTCTCTAGAGTGTTTATTTCGTTGTAAGTCAAAAATTATCTCAAAGCCACCTATGTACCTATTAGGTTAGTAACTTACATACATAGCTTTTAAAACTATTTTTAATATGATTAATTTTTATTTTTTAATATACGCAATAAATTAGATAAAATATGTAACTAAAAATTCAAAACTCAATTAAAAAATATGTAACTAAAACTATTTAAACTCAATTAAAGTGGATATTCAATGAAAAGTTCTAAAAACTTAATTTAATTCTTACAAATACCACATCGACTGCACAACAATTAGAGCTTAATATATAAAGTTCGAAATAAATTATTTTCAATTTTAATTTTAATTTTTGATTTTTTTTTGAATCAAACTTGTATATGAATCAAAATTCTAACAGGCTCAAAGGAGAAATGTTGGAACCAAATATACAAATTTTGAAACAAAATACTCTGAACTTAAATTCAAGCTCATGGATTATGTTTTGGATCTGTTGCACCAAAATTTGTTGTTATCGACAAAGAAAATTTAATCGATAGACAGTTTCAGACAATTATTTGTAATGAGTTCAATTGCCTTATTTTAGAATTTCTTTAGATGAATTTTAAGGGGATAATTATACAGTATAGAGAATTAATAAAAAAAGATTTTTTTTTATTAATTCAATAGAAAAGATTTCAATTATAAAAAGATTGAGTTAACAATCTTTATTACAACAATAACTACTTTCTAAAATTAATCTAAAATAACTACTAAAAATGCTCAGATCATTAGTGTTGTGGAGTTTGAATGTATTTTTTTAACTTTTTTGTTGTCTGCCTTTTATAGTCACTACTTTTGACGGTTCTTTATAACTCTCAAACGATTGTTTATCCTTTTCAAATAAGGTTGTAGCATGTCATTTCTTGCCTTTTTTTTTCAAAGTTTATAACGTGACATCCTCTTAATGCCTTCAGATTTGACAGATGTCACTACATCGGACATTCCTATAATTTTATATTTTAAAAAAGATCCAATTTGTATTTGAGTCAAGATTCAATATCAGTTTCTCCTCTGGCAAGATAATGGTGTTAAAAAGCAATAATATTCTTTGCAAATTCAGGAGGTTATGTTGAGTGTGCAATTTTCTAATTCAAACCATGTTGTAATCTCTAAAGTACAATCGAATTTTTCCAACAAAAAATGGGCAGTGATGATAAAAGTTCAAAATCAAGCATCTTACTTATTGCCTAACCCTGTCAGCTCCCACAGTTCACTGAATGCTATAAAAACTATACAGATTTTAGTTAATTTCTCGCTCCAGGACCAACTTCTCAGTAAGCACTAGCTATCACTATTGATGATGGCCGAAGCAAGCTCTCCGCGGTTGGCTATCCCTGTGGTAGTTATAGGCCCACAGTTCTGCACTCCTTCTCCGGTAGATCTGATAATAGTCAAGAAGCCCGTGACCATATCAGAAGGCAACTTGGGGTCACCAATGTCAAGGGGAAAACCATGTTCTACCTCAAAGGCAAGCTCTTGAGCGTTCCTGACCGCCGTGTCTTGCTTTATGCTAAAGGCAACCCTATCGTCTCACTCCGGCAAAAGGTTTTTCCTTACAAACTTATTTCTCTATGGTTAATGCGTGATATGTAGAGTAATGTTACTCCCTACTTGTTTCAGATATTGACAGCACACAGGAGGTGGCAAGTGTTCAGGGGAGATAGCTCAGACTCCAAAGATTTGCTATTCAGTGCCATGAAGTCTTCGCTCATCCAGTTCAAAACCGAGTTAGATGTTTTCTTAGCCACAAACAAAAAAGAACATGTCTGTGATTTCAAAGTGAAAGGCAACTGGTTGGAGAGATCATGCATCATATCTACTGGAGTTCAACTATCATTGCTCAGGTACAAATCATGTGGGTTATGCGCAAGGTTTGATGTAAATAGTCTTACTTTCCATGCGGAGATCCTATTGTTTCCCTCATGGTCATAGCTAAGGCACACTTTAAGTTTTTTCAGTCATTAAATCATAATTTGGTCTAATATTGTATGGATGGCTTTGTTATGTTCAATGCAGATGAGAAACACAGCTTGAAGAGAGTTGTGCTGGGGAAAGACAAGTTTGCCGTGAATGTGTATCCGAATATCGACCAAGCCTTCATAGTTGCTCTCGTGGTCATTCTCAACGAAATCAATGAGGACAAGGATGACTGAATTAGCACAACTATATATAATATAATCTAAAAAAAAAAATTTATATTATATAATCTACAATAAAATGTATGAAGGGTAACAAAAAATCTGGAAGAGTGTAGCTACCTATGTAGTTATATAGTCCCTTGAGCTTTTGAGGAAATTAAAGAAATGAATATGGCTGTTTAATCTATGAATTCTTGTGCCTATATGTTGGTGTAAATCAACTGATTCGGTTTTGTTTCTAGCGTGAATATGGGTGGTTATGGGTTCAAAGCTCATCCCCTTTCCCTTACAAGCTATCCACCCCCCCCCCCCCCACCTCTTTCTCCTTCGCCTCGCCCCACCCCTAAACAGAACTAGGAAATTTCAAGTGTTGAGATATTTGCAATTTTGTTAGGGGAAGGTTTTTGGGAGTGTGTCATTTATGTTGGCTAATTTTTTCACAAGTACTCAATATGTTAGGCTTTCACCTGGATGACGGCCGCCGCACAACCTAAAACAATTTAGGCCATGTTTGTACTCCTCCTTGTCTCCCTTCAACTTTTCAAAAAATCTATTGACAGACATGTATTTCACACCCCAAAAAGGGCCAATGGTTAAATGATTAAAATTCGGACTAATAACTTTGAGGTTAGAAGGACAAAGATTATATCTCTGTTCAATCTACACCTCCTAGAATATATATACTGGACATTATTTTTCTTATCTATTTCACATCCCTAGCGCACTTGAGACCATCTCCAATGTAAATTCAAATCCTTACACAAATTTGAGTAAAATAAGGTTAAAAACTTGATTTAGTATAGATATCTCCAATAAAAAAACTCAAATTTAATAGTATGTTTGGTATGGTGGAAAAATGGGTGGAAGGAAAGTGAGGGTGGGAAAATGGAAGGGAAGAAAAAGGTTCCCATTGTTTGGTACCAAAGAAAAGTATGAGGGAGTGGAAAGTGGGAGGGGAGGCAATAATTTTTTAAGTTAATATTTTTACCCTTTACTTATTGGAGTGAAAAAACATATTGAAGAGTAGAATTGCAAATTGGGCATATATGTTTTTCCCTTCTTTTCATTTTTCATCCAATATCAACAATAGAAAATATATTCCTCTTACTTTCCATCCCTCCTACCAAACAAAAAAAAAGGAAAATAACTTTCTTTTCTTCAAGGATAGAAACTTTATTCTTTCCACTTTTCCTTCCTTCCTTATTTCCATCCTTGGTACCAAATGGATCATAAAGGAAGAGAAATCCAAATTTAAGAATAAATTCAAATTTAAAAAATAAAATAAAATATGACCATTGAATGTTTAAAGAATAAGGAGAATTAAGAATGAAGAAGGCCATTGGTTGGAGGAGGATCAAGATATTCCTACTTGTGCTGTTAATTTTTTCTCACAGCTTTATACTACTGAACAACATGTTTTGCAGGAGGAGCTTTTCTCTGTTATTCCTAAACTGGTGTCCCAGGCCGACAATGACATGCTTACAACTATGGCTTCTAAGGAGGAGGTGAAGGATACTGTCTTTTCAATGTCAGCTGTTTCTAGAAAATTCTTTCATGAGATGTGGGATATAATAAAAATGGCTATTCATGATGCTGTGATTTTTTCTTGGGAAGGGGTGTGGTCCCAAGATTAGTTAATGCTACATTGCTTTCTTTAATTTCCAAGAAAACTAATCCCACCTCTTTTTCAGATTTCAGACCAAGAAGCCTTTGCAATTTTATTTACAAGATTTTTACAAAGCTTCTTGTTAATAGGCTGAGAATTATCTTGCCTTCTATTATCTCTGGTGAACAGCATGGATTTATTAAAGGTAGACAGATTGGGGATTTTATCTCTCTTGCCCAGTTTATGATCAATGAGCCAGATAGGAAGATAGAAGGAGGTAATTTAGTGGTCAAACTAGATATGTTGAAAGCTTATGACAAGATTGAGTGGAACTTTTTAAAGAAAACACTTGTTAGTTTGGGTTTTTCATCCATTTTTGTTTCCAGTTTAGCAAACTGTTTGTCTAGTCAGAATGTTTCTGTGATTGTTAATGGCCCAATATATGATTTTTTTGCTACTTCCTGGGGATTAAGGCAAGGAGATCCTATCTCCCCAAGCCTTTTTATTATAGCAGAGGAGGTTCTGAGTAGGGTTTTGACTAGGCTATTTCTGACTGGTTTAGTCAAAGCCTATTACACTGGTAGAGGTATATTGATTTTGAGCCATTTGTTGTTTGCTGATGACATATTGCTATTTTTGAGAGGCAATAAGGCTTCAATGATTAATCTGCAGAAGTTCATTAAGGTGTATGAAAGCTCTTCTGGGCAGAGGGTGAACAAGCTAAAGAGTTCTTTGCACTATTTGGCAAGAATTTCGATAGCTAGGAGGTCTGTTCTGCATAGAGCTATTGGGATCCCATTAAAGTCATGCCCCATTACTAATCTGGGATGTCCAATTATTAAAGGTAGAACTAAGATTATCTACTTTGAGAAGCTGGTTCAAAAGTTTAGACATAGAATGGAAGGTTGGTGTTCTAAATTGCTTTCACATATGGGTAGGGTGGTCTTGGTCAAATCTGTCTTAAATGCTTTGCCTGCTCATCTTCGTTCTTGTTTGAATCTTCCAAAGGGGGTTTTAGTTAAACTCAATGTTGCAATGAATCATTTTATTTGGTCTAACACAAGGGATACTAAGAAGAGGCATTGGTGTTTTTGAAAAGAGGTTACTATCCCATAGGAGGAGGGGGGTTTGGGGATTAGAAAGTTTGAGGATATTCAGAAAGCCTTTACAATGAAGCAGGTCTGGGGTTTATTGCAACAAAGTTCTCTTTGGTCTACATTCTTTGCTGCCAAATTTTTTAAGAAGGGACACATGTTGAACAGTTCTGGTAATTATCATTCTAAAGGGTATAGGCTTCTATCCCTATGGTTTGAAACTGTGATAATGCATTCACAAATGTTGATTGGTATAGATTTTTGGTGTGATAACTGGCTTGGTACTGGTCCTCTAATTTTAAGATTACAGGAGGCTCCAACAATTTATCCTAGGCTTTCTGAGGTTTATAATGGTTTGCATTGGAATATGGATGGGATTGATCAATGAATGGATGCTCATATGAAGGAGGAGATTGGTTTATTTTCTGTTGAGCTGAATAATAGTCCAGATCAGTTGGCATGGCAGTTAACTGATTCAGGATTTTTTACTCTAAAATCTGCTTGGAATTTGTTTATAAATAGAAGGCACTTTAGTGCAATGTCCTGTGTCATTTGGAAACAAAATGCTCCTCCTAGTGCTTTACTGATTGGTTGGAAGATTCTAAAGCATGTCTTACCTATGGATTCTAGTTTGCAGCAGATTGGGGTAGTTTTGGCTAGTAGATGCTCTTTGTGTTTTAAAGAAGAGGAATCTCCTCTTCATCTTTTTATTGATTGTGCCTATGCAAGGATTTGCAAATTTAATGGGCTTCTCTTTACTTAACTATGAGGCTCCTATCAAATTCTCTTCTTATCCAAGCAAGATTTTTGGTTTTGCAGGATCAGAGGCAGATCAAAAATTTGAGGAAGAAGACTTCATGGATTCGTTTATCTCATCCTTTTTGAATTTTGCATTTTAAATTTAAATGTTTAACAGATTGATAAGAGTTTCTTTTTCAATAGCTTTTGCTATTTGGCTATAAAGGGTTTGTTCCCCTTGGATTTCCTTTCTATGTAATTTTTTTAAAAAAAGATCAATAAATTGGTTTTGCTGGTAAAAAAAAAAAAAAAAGATTTTTAAAGACGGGTGAAATCTTACAATTAAATATTTGAGTATGAATTTGAATAAAAAAATGAGTCTTTCTTTATTTGACATGATTATGGGTCTATCATTAGAGAAAATTTTTAAGAATTTTTTTTACCTAAATTTAAATTTAAATTTTTTTAAAAAATAAAAATTAAATATGCTCTGAGTCTATGTTGGGACATCCTTCCTCTCAAGGTTTCCCAAACACCCAAGGTTAAAACCAAAAGATATTTATTGTTTATATGACTTGACCATTTTCACAAAAACTGCTTTTTGCAAATTTCTTTGGCATGTGACAGACATTAGTTCACTGTTTTTTTTAGTTCAATCACTGGGATGCTTGAGTCAATTTACGAGTATTTTAATTAATTTTTTCTTCAGTCCCGTCAAAGATAGACCATCCATACCAAAATTAAAATATTTATAAAGAATATACCAAAGAGTTTCTAAATTTTAAATTCATAATATTTTAATTTATAATTCGTGTCTATTATTATTTACGCTATCTTTGAGTTCAATTTTTTTTGGGTGAACTAAGGCCAACAAGCACATGTCCAACCAAACCTAGGGGGATAACCCACTAAAAGCTCAACGGATCATTCCTGCACCTCCACCAATCAATGGCCCAAAATCCGGCACCTCGGCCTAGCTGTTTGGCCAGCCCGTCCGTTAGCGACCTTGGGCTTTTGACGCTGACCCAGTGGCCGGAAGATAAAGTTAACACAGCCATTGATTCCCCCACTTACTATCACCTTCACCCCAACCTCACCACCTTTCCAACCGATAATACTGATCACAATTCACCTTAAAAATATCCAATTTCTCCACGAAGAGAGGGAAGCTCATGCTCTATATATCTCTGTCTCTCACGAACCCTCTTGATACCATCGATCGTATCATGGCTGCTCCGAGTTACCCTCCAATGGCTAACCCCGTAGCCTTAATAAACCCACAATTCTGTGCTCCTTACCCTGTGGATCTGATCATTGTGAGGAAGCTCTTGACTTTATCGGAAGGAAATTTCACCGTCACCGATGTTAACGGAAACGTCATGTTCAAAGTGAAAGGCAAACTCTTTAGTCTTCGTGACCGCCGTGTCTTGCTTGATGCTGCTGATAACCCCATCATCTCCTTCCAACAGAAGGTTTGTGCTATTCTACAACTACCACTGTTCTTGCCCAGTTTTTTTTCTCTGGCGAACATGTTTCTTATGTGTTTGTGTTTGTCTCTGTGTGTGTGCGTGAATTTTGCTCCTGCAACTTATTTAGTCTGTGTCTTGAGATTGTTTACATTGGGTTATTTCTACGATCAAGATGTGGGAAATATGATTTATTGTGTGCCAAATAGCAAATGTTTGCATTGATTGAGGATCTCATTGATAATCTATCTTCACAGTCTATATTTCAATTACCCGCCATGTATATGCATGGGCGGAGCTACCATTGGGCTGGTGGGGGCATATGCCCACCCTCAAATTTTTTTTCTTAACATTAGCTATGTATTTTTTTAAATAAAATTGAAGTATATTTAATTGTGTCCACCCAATTACTGTGTTCTTGTGATATAGATTAGGATAAAAAATTCATACTTAAATGATTACTAACTTTTGATCAATGCTATTAAAACCTAATTTCAATACCTAATATATTGTGATATTAAGTCTAATTAATAGGGACTCTCAATATTTAATAAAATCCAATAAATAAAATATTGTTACCATGATTTTATATATAAAAAAAAATATTTATTGATGGCATTGATTTGTAACATTTTCAAAAGATAAAAAAATTATCAGAGTCAATTATAAATGATAATAATTAGTTTCATTTTTGGTACCAAATTATAATTAATTTCTTTTTTATTTCTTGTGTAAATGCAATGTAGATCAATTTATAATTTTTTGTGTTTAATAAACTTTAAAGTTTTTAAATATAATTTAAACAAATATAAATTTATAAACTTCTATGGCTCTGATAAAAAATAAAAAAACTTCTTTGCTCCGCCCCTATGTACATGTGAGCCCCATCGATCAAGATGATGTCAACTGGTGTTTACTGTAGATTATCAGTGGCGAATAGGGGATGGGGGATCATGTTATGCGTTGTAATATCTAACTATTTATGTCAAATCAGATATGGACTGCACATAGGAGATGGCAAGTTCTCAGGGGAGATAGCTCAGACTCAAAAGATCTGCTTTTCAGTGTTAAGAAATCTTCACTGATACAGTTTAAGACCAAGTTAGATGTGTTCTTAGCCTCTAACACAAAAGAAGATGTTTGTGACTTCAAAATTGAAGGTAGCTGGTTCGAGAGATCATGTGCTATATATGCTGGAGATTCTTCTACTATAATTGCTCAGGTATCTTGCAATCCTGTTTCAGCTTCAAGAATGAGAAAACCCTTATCTGTTTAGGCATTTTCATGCTGTTTTAATATATTTATTTTTTGACCTGAGTTGCCTAAGTCCTTGATGATGATATTGCAGATGCACAGGAAGCACACAGCTAGTAGTATTCTGCTGGGCAAAGATACATTTTCTGTGACTGTATATCCACACATTGATTATGCCTTCATAGCTGCTCTGGTGGTGATTCTGGAGGAAATCAATGAGGACAGAGATGGAAGTGACTGAAATCACCTTAAGTTTGTATAAATGGTTTCCCTTTCAAGTTAGTAATAAAATCATGTACTGTTGGAGACCTACCTTAAGAATATTATCTGTGTAGGGGGTACTTGAATTCCGGATGTAATGTGGTTGCCTCTACAATCTTATGATCCTGGAACTTGTAGAGGTCAGCAAAAGACTTTTTTTTTGGTTTTTTTTTTATGTATGTATCCATTTGCTTATGCATGAATAAAAATGTTTAAATAACTTTCGGATTGTTTTTTGTTTTATTTCAGTTTATGAAGACAAAAGTAAGAATCACATGACCATCATTTAATCTAATAATCTGGTGAAAGTTAAAAACTAGAACTATTATTCACCTCGACTTTAACCTTGTAGCCATTAAATTGAAATTAATCAGACTGGCATCTCATGGATGACAGCATTATTTGGGTTTTGGATAATCTTGAGCTAGTGGTTGCTATGATATTATGGTGTAAAATCATCTACTCTAAAAGATTAAGTTGTAAGCGATATTAAAGTTTAAGTATCTATACTTCAATAATTACCACACATAAAAAAAACCATCAATAATTGATACTTAGGTACATTCCTCAACCATTTCTACAAATGGGGGAGGGAGTGGACATGTAAGCAATATCTGGTCAATGATGCCAAATGTTATACAAAAAACCATCTTAATGTCTAGTAATGAATGGTTGATCCGGTCTAAACAAGAAGGGAGGGGGGAGGGATTTGAGTTGAACAAGTTACCAATTATTTTATTATAGTAAGCCTTTCAAAACCACAAAAAAATTAGACAAATAGGAATGTAAATAATATGAAGGCAATTAGGACGGCTATAAGAAAATGGTGCTTTCTAGGGATGGATAATTCTAACAATTTGCTCAACTTAGTCCATTAATTGAGGCTTAGTCAATGTACCATCAAGTCTGCCCTCTCCAATCTAATTCATGGGTTAGGTTCCTTAGTTCCTTGTAGTAATTCTTCACTCAGTTCTATTCTCTGTTTCAGATCTTAGTCCGGTCTTTACATGATTGGCCAATGGATGTGTTTCGTGGAAGATTGACAGGACATATAAAAAACCAGTGTCCTACGATCGGTCAAAGTCATTTTTTTCCTTCGACTATGAGTAATTGAGTTCTACAACAGAATTTAAATTCTTACCCAAATTCAGCAAAAAATTTCTCAACAAAATTTCATAAGTTAAACCTTAAAAGAACTAATTTTTCTACAAATATTATGCTCTCCTTATGAGGTGGGACTGCTGGGTCCTTAACTTTGCATTGTGAAAATGGATGGATGAACTAACCTCCGAATTCTTTTCAATTTGTATACTAGCATGTGCTCGCACGTGTCTTAATCTTGACCCTGTCCCTTGTTGATTTTGTCATTATCATTCTTCCTGATCAACTCCTATTGAAATACATGCTTGAACAATTCTAACAAACATTTAAATATCAATTGTTTCAAACGTGGATGAGTTATATAAGAATCTTACTACAAAGTACTCCAAACAAAGTCTCAAAAACAAAAGGGTCCATAGCTCTTCTTCTCTCTGTCTTGATCAGCATGGCACAGCCAAGCTACATTCCTTTAACTAATCTTGTTTCAGTGATAGGTCCTCATTATTGTGTTCCTTATCCGATTGATCTAGCAATCACTAGAAAACTTCTGGCCCTCACTGATGGTAACTTTGTAGTTACAGATGTTAATGGAAACATCATGTTTAAAGTAAAAGTTCGCATAACATTTCTTCGTGAACGCCAATTGCTTACTGATGCAGCTGGGAATCCCATTGTTACCCTACGACCGAAGGTTTGCTTGATGATATAGCATACACTGTATTGAATTTGTAATTTGTATACAATTTTTTGACAAGCCAATTTTTTATGCTTATATTTGGTGCTCAGTTGAGTATAAATTGCTCTCCATGCATTGTTCTAGATATATAATCCCCCCGTCTTCCCCAATCCCTAAAAGTCCATCCGGGGCGGGGGGGTTAATTACTGGTTTTTTTGCACCTAACCACAAAATCAGATTTAGATGAGCAGAAAAATCTAGTTGTATCAAAGGGATTAAAGAAAGAAAAAGACCAATCAAACCGCGCCCAGACAATTATCTGAATGTTAGAATATCTGGCATTAAGTCTTGCCTTCTTATTTCACTATGGTGGACAACTTCAATTTATTTTGGTTGTGCAGATTATGAGCGCACACAGCAGGTGGCAAGTCTTTAGGGGGAATAGCAAAGACCCTGCAGATCTGCTCTTTACTGCTAAAACATCTTCAATTTTCCAACTGAGGACCAGATTGAATGTGTACTTAGCACATAACACGACAGAGGAGGTGTGTGATTTCAAGGTCGAAGGAAGCTGGCTTGAGAGATCTTGTGTCATTTATGCTGGAGATTCTTCGACGATTGTTGCCCAAGTAAGATCATGTACAGAAGGATTTGTTGTTTCATAAAATTATAATCACTTATAGTTCAGTTCATGAAATGAACAAATCATTGATGCCATATGGTGTGGCAATGTGATCATGGGGACATATTCGAATTGTGCAAATTATGGAGAAACTGTACAAATAATAACTAGACTTAATTGATCATTGTGGAACTGCAGATGCATCAAAGATACTCCGCTGAAAGCATCTTGCTTGGAAAGGACAAGTTCATGGTGACTGTGTATCCTAACATTGATTATGCCTTCATTGTCTCCCTCATCGTGATTCTTGACGATATCAACAGTGAGGACGGTAGTTGATTCGGCCCGTAAGTCAGGTCCCTTGCTGCTAGAACACTAGTACTTAAACCCACTTTTTACTGTGTGTTCTTATTCGGTTCTAAGTTACAGTTACTTCTTATCTTTGTTTATTAATACTTTGTATACTTCAGTATTTTTCCCTGGTACTGTTAGATTACATTTCAGAAAGTTGTTGTATGTGCTTATGACTTTTAATATACCTTGATGCTGCTTGAATTGGTGTACAAAAGTACCAAGACCAAGTTCCATTTTCATATTTTTTTAGTGTTTGATTAGAAGCGATTTGATTCAGGTATTCGTTGGTGTATGACATATTGACATCCTTGGTTTAGTAGTGTCCATGGGCCTGGCCGGGCTAGGCCCATGAATTTTTTTGGACGGGCCAACTATTAGGTTTATTGAGTTTTGAGCTTCTTTTTGGGCTAGGTAACAGGACCATGGGCCAACTTGACCCATGAACACCCATACGTGGGTTGAAACAGACTGGTGTACTGAGTCACATATAGGGATGTTAGTGGACCGAAGCGGGGGTGGGGAGTATAGTCTTCATCCTCATACCCGCTTAAAAAAACTCCGTCCATCCCCGATTCACCCCCGTTAACAAGTATAATTTTTATCATCATCACTATCCGCGGGTAAATTTCTAATCCCCGTTCCCACTTCTCCCGTACCCGCCTAAGCTTAACCCCAAGCCAAAGCCCAATCCCAAACCCAAATAGCAGAATCCAAAATTTTAAATAAATCTAATATTTTAAATAATCCAATTATATTCTAAATAATCTAACATAATCTAATACAACATAATGTAGATAGCAAAATGTAAAAACTAAAACAATATAGTATTCTATTTAAAGTGTTATTGGACCACAAAAAGAGAAACGGAACTATTAGAGAGAAAGGAAGAAAAGAAAAATAAAATTAAACTAAGAAAACGATAACACTACACTTGAAATTTCCTAGAAAAATTTTTGTTATTATAATTCATATTGTAGCCATAAAGTGTTAAAAGATGAAAACTTAAAATTTCGCTAATTTAATAATTTTCTCCATTTTTTAGTTCACTCTAGCAGAGAAACTCGTCAACCTCCATTCACAATATTTTTACCTACGATGAATACAAAATTATCTTACTCTCTCTTATTTGTTTTTAGAGTATGGTCAATCCAAACTCCTAACAGTTCAATCAGTGAGCACAAATAGAAAAAAGAACAATTAGGGAAAAAAGTTGATAAGATTACCACATAAGAATACCACTTGTTAGTTTGATTACCATATTTCTAGATTGGTAGTTATAGTGAATATGTTTAGTTAGGGTTTGAGAGTATATATATATATATATATATATATATATATATAACGGGTAATGGGAGCGGGGATAAGGGTAAGTCCATCCCCGCCTTCATTTCCTATACGGGTTTGTACGGGTATCCTCGTATACGTCCACCGTCCAATATATATAGTCCATTCTCAGTCCAAACGGGACAGATTTGAACAAATACTTGTTTTTCCTCGATCCACTGACATCCCTAGTCACATAACTTTTGTGTTTTTGATGACGTAATTTACAGTTGCTCCATCTATTTAATTTGAAGAAACTGTGTTGTTGTTTGGAATATAATTTAGGTATTTATGCATATTACTAATTGTAACGATCAATGTTTGGTGGAATGCTATGATGCAGATAAGGTTATAGTACTGGAATTTAATTTTTGGGTACCATAGTTTAACTCAATAAGGTGCTCTGGCTACCAAGCAGAAGGTGAATATATGTGTGTGAGCAACACCTCCCATGGCTTAACCAAGACCAAGTAATGTGCTCGTATACTTAAAAGGTTTTGTTGATCTTGGTTGGAATGTGATTGGTTGTGGTCAGTGCATCAAGAGCAGTTTTGTGGCAGGCAGCCCTTGGTTTTTGGCTTGAGATGGTGCCACCATCACTATCAGAGTATGAACAAGAGAAGCCACAGAAATCCCACAAGAGAAATCCCAAAAGTTTAAAGGCCAATAACTGAAGAAGTTGCTTTCGCAGTAATGGAGACTGATAGTGTGCCCACTGAACTTTATCTCACCAGGGACCATTATGGTCGGTAGGGGTGGAGCCGGACCATTTCTTTTGTGGGGCAATATAAAATTTTTTAATAACTTTAAATATTTTTTTAAAAAATTTTATCTCTGCTAATTCTAAAATCAATTCGATAGTTAGACCCTAACTCAATACCCATTATTATGTTTTTAACAAATAAATTACAAGAAAACTATAAATAACAAAATAAATAGAGAAATTTTAATAGCAGTAATTTAGAAAAATTAATTCTATTACAACTCTATTAAATCGAACTTAGATATAGGAACATTCAGAGCTATAATAATCAAATTCTTCAATTCCAATTAATCAAAATAACTTAACCCAAAATATAATGCTTAACAACCAAATTATATATAGAGCAATCCAATTAAATATAAAAAATTCAAACCCCAATTTTAATTCCAACATCTAAAAATAACAAAGAGGGGACTAACTGCTTTTAAATCATAATAACATAAACTTCAACCACATATTTAATTCACAAACAGATGACTGCTACACATCGAAATCATCGATAAATTTATTCCACAAAACCAAACTCCTTTATACCCTCACCACCGTCTAATATCCAAAGAATTAAAAACTACAACTAATATTCCGAAGAGATCAAAAATCAATTGTTTGAATCGTCATTGTTCAATTCAAATATAGATAATTGCAGTTCTGTCATCTATTGTTAGGTAAAAAATGAAATGGGTAAAAAAAAAAAACAAAATGAGTAGAAGCACTTAACGTCTTGCCAAAAAATACAAAAATTTTGAAATCAAAGAAATTGTGTATGAGTTACCTCTTGCACGATATCTATCATAGAATTTTCTAAACTCTCAACAACATTTATAATTGACTGGTTAAATAACAATCGAATTGATAACAAAAAAAGGGACGACTGAAGACAAAAAAACATAAAAAGAGAACAAAGGTACACTACAGAGAGCAAAAGTCGGTTGAAGAGAGAACTTTCAATTCACAACAGGAAAGACATGAGGGGCCAAAGAAAGAAAATAAAGAAGTCTGAAGAGATGAATGAAAAGTCGGGACCAGGAGGCAAGAAGTGTTCTCCTAATCTAATGTTATATTTATGAAACACACCCACATGTTTTCCTAATACATAGAACTATACCTATAACTTTTCAGTGAGGGTAATTTGTAAAAATATTCAAAATTTTTAAAAAATTGATTAAATCCAACTACGCTAACATTATCAAATTGAGAAACTGAATACATAAAATTTGAGTCCTCTAAAAACACAACTATATAAAATTATTATCACTAATACCACCATTACCATTTAGCCTAAATTTTGATAACTAATCAAATTTTGTGCTCAAATTAAAATTAAATCTAACCAAGTCAACTATTTAAATTAATTTTGCTATTCAATGCAACCAAATTTTATGTTGCACAAATTTGTCTCAAGAGCTTTACCCCACCACCACTCATCCATCACAATTTCAAGATTAACTATCATCACTAAGACCACTATCATTATCACTTTCAAACTAAAAACATATCTTCAGCAGCCATCGATACTGCTTCGTGAAAGCGAGCTTACTTTTAACTACAATTCAAGCCAAATAATGTATCAAATTGGCAACAAAACAAATGAACTATAAGATATATTGACAACAAATCAAGTTGAATTTCAATATATTGCAGGAATAGTGTATAACTTGCAAAATTTATGAATATACACAAAGCATTAGAATGAAGTCAAGATTTGAAATTTCTTAAAAACATAGACATTACAACCTAAATAACTTTGAATAGCAATACAAAGAACTTATTAAACATTGTGCATACACCTCACAGTGGTTCTTGTCATTTTTGCTTTCATTTGATGCAAACCATTCCCAAATGTGCCAAAAAAATAAAAGGCATGACTCTTGAACAAAAAGGCTCCTTGGTTCTTTTGGACTTTGGACAAAACAAACACCAGAAATAGATGAACTCATCTTTGTTCACAAAGGACCACTTAGCCTGAACCAATTTTATGTCCTCATATCCTAGAACGTACAAAAAAATATTATAAATAACCTAAAAATATGTAAAACTAAAAAAAAATAACAAACCCAAACCAACAAAATAATTTTTTCGGAGATCATCGTCCCGCTGGAGTTGTGCCATTGCTGATCACTGGAGCTGCGCCATCGTGCTATAGATGGTCGCTACAACAGACAAAGTAAGTTCGCTAAAAAATAAGGAAAATGTTGGCCTGCTCATTGAAGCAATAATACAAATACTTGGTGTTTCGGTGACTGTGGTGGATTTCGGTAGCAATGTGTGCATGTGAGGGGTGGGGAGGCGTTTGCTGGGTAGGGGGGTTTCGATGGCAATAGTGGGGTGGAAAGGGGTTGAAGGTACTGGTTGGCTACAAATAAGAGTTTGGCTTTGGAGATATAGGGTGTTTGGTGGGCTGTTTATGAGTTTCGGTGGCAGAGAGAGAGAGGGAAGGAAAGGGGTGTGTGGTAGGGGAGAGACATACGCACAGAGAGAGAGAGAGAGAGAGGGGAGGGATACTTGGGTGAGGCTTCAAGATTGTCGATGGTTGATCATTGTACCTTCGATGGTGCCTCTATAGTGTTGCTGTGAAGAAAGAGAGTTTTGGTGAGGAGAGAAAAAAAGAGAGAAGAGAAAGGGGCGACGATGGCTATTCGTTGGGGGAAAAGATTGAGAGGAAGAACAAAGAGAGAAAGAGAGGGAGGCAAAGGAGAAAAGTGATATCAAAAATAATTGGGTGAAAAGATCGAGATAGATGCAGGTGATAAAGGAAAGTAAAGTAAATAATATAGTATCATCATTATATTGATATTCTCAATCTATAATGTGAAAAAGTGATTTCTCTGATATGAAAATTATTTAGAGCAGTATGAGCGAGGGTCAAAATTTAAATGTGGACATTAATTTTAGAATTTGACAGAATTTTAGATTTAGATGACATTGATTTTGGACGAGATTAAAAGGTGAATTTAATGTAGAGGTGTCAATTTTGAAAACTAAAAATTTTGAGAGGCAAAAATATTTCAATAGTTAATGTAGTGCATTGGATCAAAATAATTTGAGACGTCAATAGCTTGAGATAGTTTGGGATAGTG